TCAACACTGCATAGATAGCACTGGACACATCTACAAATAATATGAATAGTGTTATCCAACAGTTATTTTTGGTTAGTTACTTTTATAATGAATACATAAAATAATTTGATTGAAAATAATCTTGCATTTTGATTGACTTAATAACACAACAATAGCTAACAATATCATTAGTGATGGAGATTCGATTGAATTTCGTATGAAGTATATCTCGTATTGGAAGTCTCATTAAAAAACAGAATGTATTTTTAATATTAATAATTTTAGTACAATTCTTGTATGCAGTAGAGCTTCAAAAAAAAAATGAACAGCACATTTATTTATATGCATGTAACATATATATTATATACATATATATATATATATACATGTTCATATATATATTTTTTATATATATTTACTTTGCTTTATTAAACATTGAACACATATATCCATAAAAAATAGAGCAAATATATAATAATTTTTCCAAGTGAACACCAATTATTGAACAAAATTTATATGCAAATTATTTTTACAAAGATATAAGGTAAATAATTCAATTACAAAATCTTGGTGTCCATTTGACTAAATAATTATCTTTGACAATAACAATTTACTTACAAACATTTACACTGTTATGCTATATTTTTTGCTCAATTGCATTTTCAGAACTTTCTATAATGAAAGATCTTTTTGATTACTGCAGTTCGTAAAAAATATTCATTATATATCGATATAATATTGAGAATCTCTTTCTTTAATAATAATGAAAAATTTTAATGCACATTTACTTTCTACTTAAATCCCAGTTGAAATAAAAATATGTTTTGTATCAAATTAATTTTTATAGACTATGGGAATGAAAACGGTTGTAAAAATATTCTAACCGGTTTTTAATTTTTTATAGGCCGATCATCCAGATAGTTATTAAGAATAAAACATAGATGGCTTGCAATAAACACAGTAACTGATTATTTTTTTAACTTAAATGTTATAATTTCAAAAATCTATACTACATCAGTTTATCAATTAATCCATTTGTACAAATTTTTATTGCACTTATAGAAGCTGCAAATGTGTTTCATAAATCGTGTTACTGCGTAAACAAACAACAAACATGTTTGTTTAAAAAAATCACATGCAGTATACAATACCAATTGCAACAAGAATTAAGTTAAAAGTAAGTATGCATTTACTACAGTGACTTTGTCAATAATGAGATTCACAAAATTTATCTATATTAATATTTCTGTAACATAAGAATTTGACTAGATTTGCACTTGTGACTGAGATTTTATGAAACTTTGGTAAACAAACTCTTAAACTAAATACATTACAAACATTTGAAATATAATAATGCCTGCATATTTATATTTCTCATGCTATGTACCCAAGCTAAATTTATCCCGAGTATTAACAACTTTGATGCATGAATTAGAAAAAGCTTTCAAATTATTTTAATTATAACATGTCATCACAATAAGATATTTACACAATGAGAATTGTATTCTTTTTGTGGTGTGCAAAGATCAAAGTATTCTTATCTGCGTTGGGAACATCACTATGATAAATTATAGACTAATAATGATACGTTTTACTAGACCATGAAGTTAAATATATAATACATAAATAAGCTTAAATTAATACATTTATTAAGAAAAAACACTACTATATTTTTTCTTTTTAAGAAAAATATGGGATTTTTTATCATCATAAATCTCTCGTATAACAATAGATGTAATATAAACTTGCCACATTTAATAAAACTTAAATAATTATATATCATTGGCACATTCTTGCTTCAATCAGTATTTATAATAAAATTAATGAGGAATAAAAGCTCAAGATCGAATAAAAAATATGACAAATTATATTATACATCTACCACCAGTAACAAAAAATATACAAACCATACCAGTAGTTTGTAGAACTTTCATTAAATAAAGATTTAGATTTTCGTTTTAAAATAACGCTTATACATATGGCAATATCTTATAGAATAATAAAAAATAGATACGAATACAGTTAATACATTTTAGTTATACTTATTATCTTCTATAGCTTAACGCTACAAATGCTAAGTTTTGTTTTAATATATACAATGGTAGCAAACCAAAAGCAATAGTTTACTATAGTGTACTTTATACTATTATTATATTATTTTGTTTTTAAATAGTACAAGTTAATTTGTACATATCGGCTATGCTTACAGCAGCGTGAAGTTTTTTTATACCTATATTATATATCAACACTTTTTAAATATTACAACATAATATATCTTTAAACTATTCAATTAATGCAACTTTATGCAATAATACAAAGTGGACTATAATTATGCATCCATCTAAAAATTGATTCAATATGAATAATAATAAAACTCAAAGATTCTTTCCAGTATATAATTTCGAAGTTTTTTTCAAATCAATTTAAATAAATATAGATTGAGATTATGAAACGATTTCAATAATTACTATTAAACTGAAGAATCAATTTTGTATTTTATATTGCCACTATTATATATCACTTCCAGAAGTAAATTATAAAGGGTATAATCAATTTTTAATTGCAGAAGAAGATTATGATGAGATTAACCAATATATATATATATATATATATATATATATATATATAATATATATAGATATATATATATATATATTGGTATAAATATTTATTCTAAATATATAATCTACTATATACTATATCCCTATATAATATATCTCTCTACTCTATCTCTCTCTAATCTCTATCTCTCTATCTTTGGTCTAATCTATATATCTATCTCTCTCTCTCTCTCTCTCGATCTATCCCAAGAGCTGGCTTTGTTTTTTCTCTGCCTGATACTCCTTTCTAGTTCATATCTTGTAATATGATTACTGACAATGTGATATTTTATTTGATATCATCCTAACTTAACAAGTAACGTCACAGTCACTACGTTCGAAAGTGAAATTTACTTTTATTAATAAATAATCGAATAAATTTTAGGCAACTATATGCTAATCAAATAAATGCAACAACATGGAGCGAGGAATAAATTAAATAAGCAACGCAAAATTATGAAAATGATTGAATAGTAAATACTTAGTATTTAGGATTTAATTCAGAATTTTTCACATTCAAGTCCTTATTCAAAATTGTACTAATTTAAACATTGAATATAATATATCAAGCAATTAAATGATATTAAGCTATGTTTCTATAGGCAACGATTTTATCGGCCGAAAAGAGATATACATATATGTATCAAATATGATTTAAATCAATTTAATATGACAAACATTGCATTGGAAGTCGAGGTATATGTTTTACTTGGAGCAAATTTCTTTGTTTTTGCAAATCATATCATTTCGTCATTTGGACACTTATTATTATGTACGGAACAATTTCTTCGTAAGAAACGGGAAGTCATTAACTAAGAATATATTGCGCTTTTCATGTCCGCCTGACTTCTCAAAAGTAATCGATCATTTTTTAAAACATACATTCATTCAACATGTATTGGAAATTAAACACCAGTGAAAAATGATAAATATGCCAATAATTGAGAATAAACTCTAATAAAAAAATATTTTTTATATAAATGAGTAGTGTGATAAATTTCAAAATAGATCCTTAAGTTTCATATTAAACCCCATACAGCATTTGAATGTATGTTTAAAATTATCAATAAATAAACAAATAGTATGACTAGATACTGCAACTTTCTAAGAATATTAAAACATTATACGGGCTGCTCCAAAGGTGTTTAATAAGATAATGATTAAGTCTCTCGATATGAACTGTAATAAAAATAATCCAACGTGAATAATGATTA